TCTCTCGAATGTGAAACAGCGTGGGCCCTGCCTGTTGACCAGTGTCCCTCTCTTCCTGCCTCCAGGGAGTCCAGCTGACAATGCGTCCCTCAGGTCGGGCGACCGGATCCTGTTCCTCAATGGACTGGACATGAGGTCAGGGGCTACTGGGGATACCAGAGCTTAGTGGTGAACTGTCCCCCAAGACTGCTGCCTCTTGGGACCCCAAGTCATGGTCCTGATCCCCTCTGACCAATTGGTCCCTGGGATCTGTCCCCTGTCCCATGGGAACTCTGGAATCTATCCCCCCACCCTCGCTAGGACGTCAATTCATCCTGCCAACCAGAAAACACCCAGCTCCACGCAGCAGACACAGCTCAAAGTCTTGCCCCTCACGGGGAGCCCTGCCTGGGGTAACATGAGTGCGAGCCCCTCTGTGCCCAGAAGTGTCCTGCAAGCCCTGGGCTTGAAGTGTCCTGCAGAGATGAACAAGCAGGAGAGGCAGCTCCCCGGCTCTGGCTGTGGCCCAGCTGGGCACTTGCTGTGTGGCCTCTGCGGGCAGGACAGGGGGGTCTGGCGGGTGGCTGCGGATGGGGCTCACCCGGCCAGGCCCTCCTGGGCCATCTCTGCTTGGCAGGAACTGCTCCCACGACAAGGTGGTGTCCATGCTGCAGGGCAGTGGCGCGATGCCCACGCTGGTGGTAGAGGAGGGGCTCGTCCCGTTCCCCAGCGGTAAGGCCCCCGCTCCACGGAGACCCTGAGGGGGGCCCACTCTGCTTTCCCCCCTAACCTGCAGGATCCTGCCCCAGGTGGCACGGTGGAACCCAGCGGGACCTCCTCAGGGTCCGTCTGGGCTCTCTCTCTATCCCCATCTTGGGGGCTGCGGATGTGCCTCCCTGTGCATGCTGCCAGCAGCCAGGAGGTCCCAGGGAAACCACGCCTGGCCTGGGGACGCCGGGTCACCTGTGCCTCTCTTGCCTGTGGCCCTGCAGACTCCGATTCTCTGGATTCCCCCAACCCTTCGGCGCTCACCTCACTGCAGTGGGTGGCGGAGATCCTGCCGTCCAGCATCCGCGTGCAGGGGAGGACTTTCAGCCAGCAGCTGGAGCACCTGCTCACACCTCCCGAGCGCTACGGGGTCTGCCGGGCCCTTGAGAGCTTCTTCCAGCACAGGTGGCCAGGCCAGAGTGCGGGTGGGCCTGCTCGGGGTGGGCCCCAGGTCCTGCCCAGACTCACCACCCGGGTCTCCCTGCCTGCGGGAGGCTCAAAGAAAGCATGAGCTGGTACCAGGGACCCCGGGGGGGGGGGCCAGGTGGGCTGCCCCAGAACAAACCCTGCCTCTGAGACCTCCGAGCCACGTGACCCAGGCAAGTCCCAGCCTTGTCTGTAAAGTGAAGCAGACAGTGGTCACCTGCCGCGTTGATGGTGGGACCCTCACAGGGACAGTACTTCCAGTGTCAGCAAGGCCTCAAGATGCCAGATGCCTGAGGCCACTCGCCGCTGGCCAGGCCCTTCGGGGGTTGGTTTGGGATCTTTTTGCACCTCAGGGGCATCAGCCTGCCTTGGCCACACTCCTCAGTCTGCAGGGTAACTCATGTTCCGTGCATAGCTCCTCACTTATTCATCTTTTTTCTTCTTTTGTTTAAAGTTTTATTGAGACATAAGTCACATGCCATGGATTCTCCCATTTGAGTGTGAATCCCATGCACTGGTTTTTAAGTATATTTGCAAATATATACAACTATCACCACACTCAATTTTAGAACAGTCGGACCCTTTGTTCCTCTGTTGTATTGGGCTTTCTGTTTTTGTTGCTTTGCAGGAGTTCCTTGACTATTCCAGGCACTGATTTCTTGTTGATTTTGAACATTGTAACTATCACCTCCCATTTGGCACTTCTGTTATTGCTTCTGTTATGCCTAATGTTAATGTCTCCAAGTTAGTTGTGCTTGTTTGAACAGATATCCTTGATTTTGTGTAATCAAATCAATGCATATCAGGTCTCATGGCTTTGAAATTTTTTTTTAAAAGTGCTTCCCTGCCTCCTGCATTCTTTTCTATTAATTTTATAATTTTATCTTTCACACTTTGGCCTTCTATCCACCTAAAGTTCCTCTGTATGCATGGTGTTGTGTGAGGATCCAGTTTTATTTTTTCCACGTAATGCAGAGGTCAGCAAACTCTTTCTATGAAGGGCTGGATAGTAAATATTTTAGGCTTTGGGGGCCATGCAGTCTCCATGGAAACTATTCAACTCTGCTGTTGTAGCTTAAAACAGACATAGACAATATATAAACAAACAGACACGGCCATGCTCCAATGAAACTTTCTTCACAAAACCAGGTGGTAGGCTGGATTTGGGCCCTCGGCCATCGTTCGCTGACCCCTGGTACAGTGACTCAGCTTTCCCACTACACTCCATACATCTCGATCTTCACAACAGCTCAGTGCTCTGTGCAGGTGTTATTTTTATCCCCATTTTCCAGATGAGGAAACTGAGGCACAGAGAAGTTAAGTAACTTGAGAAAGGTCACTGGCTGGTAGTGGCAGAGGCAGGATTTGAATCCAGGCAGCATGTCCACAGAGCCTGCCTTCCTGCCCAGCTCTCTGTCCTGGCAGTGGGAAAGGGGGCAGGGCATGAGCCTGAGGCCTGTGGCCTGTAGTGCCCCCCTTATCCATCCCCACCCCACTCCCTAAGATGAGCCCCTGCGTAGTGAAGCCCTTGCCCCTGCACCCTCCCCCAGGAACATCGACACCCTCATCGTCGATGTCTACCCCGTGCTGGACACACCTGCGAAGCAGGTGCTTTGGCAGTTCATCTACCAGCTGCTGACTTACGAGGAGCAGGAGCTCTGCCAGGAGAAGATCGCATGCTTCCTGGGCTACACGGCCATGACAGGTGAGCAGCCCCTGCCCCTGCCCAGCCCGCCAGGTGAAGAGCCAGACACCTGTTCTCACCTGCTAGGTATTACAGCGGACCTGGGCCCCCCCCCACACAGATGTGCCCACGTGCGATGCAGATACAGGACCAGCGCCCCCCTGGTCCCACGCTTGGCCCCACGATGTGCCTTCCTGGGAAGGAAGGAGCAGATGCAACCTTGGACACCCCACCTAACCGCCCAGGGTCTCAGGTTTCTCACCCACAGAATGGGGGTGACCTTGGTGGCTGTGCTTTGCACTCCAGGAAGTGTGGCACAGATCAAGAAGTTTGTGTGGCCGCTGTTGGCAGACCTGGATTGTGAGTGTGCAACTGGGTCATACCTGGCTGGGCACGTACACACACAAGGGCCTGCCAGGCCTTGCTGCTGCCACCTGTCAGTGCCCATGTGCCTGTGAAACCATGCCCATCATCACTTAGGCCACGGGAATCGAAACCCTGGGCCTTTGTTCTAGGTGTTCAGACCTGCTGGTCCCAGCCCGCAGGTCTACGTGCTGGCCCTCATGTGCCCACTGTCCCCAGTCCCAGGGACCCACAGTTAGCAGGGGGAGGGTCCAGGGCTTTAGCAAGAACCTCGGGGTACAGGTGTCTCACATCTGCCCAAACCTGGAACCTTGCTTTTCATACCAGAAGTCCCTGTAGGCAGCAACGACTGGGGGTTGAGACCTTGGATCGTGGGGCCCTAGGCTCTTGTCATGAGAAGAGGCCCTGTGGGGTGGGCTGTGGCCCCCTCCCCCAGCCTCCATTCTCAAGCTAGCACCACCCCGTGCTCCTGATCCTGGCACCGGTTTCTCACCCCAGGCTTCCCCTTGACAGCTGTCCTAGAGCCAAGCAGGGCGGGGGTCACAGATCAGAATAGCTGGCTGCTGCCTTCACCCTTCCTGTGTGGTGGCTCCTTGTCTGGCCGAGAGGCAAGGGCCCATCTCCCCTCCATGTCCCACAGCAGAGACAGAGCCAGAGCTGGACCTGGAGCCAGAGCTGGAGCCCGAGCCAGAGCCGGTGCCAGAGCCCCAGCCGAGGAGCTCCCTGAGGGCCTCCTCCATGTGCCGCCGCAGCCTGCGGTCCCAGGGCCTGGAGGCTGGCCTCAGCTGCGGTAAGGCCCGGGGCCGGACCCAAAAGCAGGAAAGGGTGCAAGAGTGTGACCAGGCTCGGTTTTCCCACCTGCAATGTGCGAAGTCCCTGGAAACAGGCTGGGGAGGGGGGGCCTCCTGGGGCAGCTGGGCTAGCAGGCTCTCTCCCCTTGGTCCCCACTGGGTCTGGGCTGGTGCCTGACTCTGTCTTCCCTGATCCCCAGCAGGTCCCAGTGACTGCTCCGAGATGCCTCTCCCTCTGATCCCAGGCGAGCGCCAGGCAGGCGATGGCACGTCCCTCCCTGAGACCCCCAACCCCAAGATGGTGAGACCTCGGTGCCCTCCTGGCAGTGTCAGTGGGGGGCTGACCCTTACTTCCCAGACCACCCAGGCCTGGCTTCTGAGACCATGTTGGGGCCGCGTGGGGGCAGGGAGGTCGGCTGGACTCTCCTGTCCCCTCTTCCTGCAGATGTCAGCCGTCTATGCGGAGCTGGAGTCCAGGCTGAGCAGCAGCTTCAAAGGGAGGAGGGAGTCCATGTCCAGGTCCCGTGCCTCCCCCCCAGTGCCCAGCCCGGCAGGCACAGCAGGTAGGGGTGCAGCCAGCCCAGTTCCTGAGGGCAGCACTGGCTTCTGTCCCCCTCCCCTGCTCGCTGGGTGTTGTCCCACCTCCAGGCACAATCCTGGGGCCCCCTCTTTGATCCACAGCCATGGGAATGAGTTTTGGGGAACCCCAGCAGCCTCCACGGTGAGGGGCTATCCAGGTCAGGGTTGCCCTCATCCCTCCGTGTCCTCTCTGATCCACACCCCTGCTGTGGATCTAGAAACGCAGAGGGCTGCCCCCAGAGGACTCCCCCAGTTAGCGTGTGGCAGTTGGATAAACTTTTAAGTGTGTGCCTTGCCCTGTGAATGGCACAACTGGAAAGATGGTTACTCACAGGACGCACACGATGAAGTTCAGAAGGCAGGACTCCTGGGCGATGCTCTTGTGAGCCAAGGGCCTGCTGGGTGTGGGAGGTGCCTTGTGACCCTTGGTCTGGGGCCTGGAGAAGGCCCCTTGGCCCTCTGAGTTGTGTTGAGCGGGTCTCACGTGGGACCCGTGATGTCTCTTCCAAGACGAGCTGGGGTCTGACCTGTCCTGGGCCTAAGCAGTGCCTCCACCTCTAATCTTTGATCACTCCCAGGGAAGAGCATGGGGAGCGGGGTCACCCTGGCTTTCCTGCACCGTGTCCAGAGAGGGAAAGGAAGGTGCCCAGGGACACAGGGCCAACCTGCCCTGGGCCCCTACCCTCCAGCCTGCACCTAGAAGCCAGGTACTGACTGAAAATGGGTCCTCACCTGCCCTCCCCCACCCCAGGGCCCAGGACCCTGTCCAACGTCTCCTGGCCCAGCGAACGACTCCTGCCCTCCCCCTGCTACTACCCGCTGTGCTCAGGGGGCCCGGCCTCCCCCAGCAGCTCCGAGTCCCACCCCTACGCCAGCCTGGACAGCAGCCGGGCGCCCTCCCCACAGCCAGGCCCCGGGCCCATCCACTCCGACAGCCCCCCCAGCCCGGACCTGGCCCGCCAGCCCAGCCGCAGGAAGCTCTTCACCTTCTCCCGGCCAGTGCGAAGCCGGGACACCGACCGCTTCCTGGACTCCCTGAGCGAGCAGCTGGGCCCCCGGGTCACCATGGTGGACGATTTCCTGAGCCCCGAGAACGACTATGAGGAGGTGAGCGTGCAGGCAGGTGCGGAGGGCCAGGGAGCGGGTGTGACATGGGGATCTCTAAGGGGATGGTGTCCCTGAGCTCCTGCAAGAGGCCTGCTGCCCTGGGGACCTGTCCCAGGCTACCCCTCTCCCTGGCTTGAGCTATCCCACCCTTTGACTTGAGCTGTGATCCCCTTTCCCAAAGCTACCCCATACACGTCTCAGGCTACCCCATTCCTCGTCCTAGGCTACCCCACCAGCCTGTCCTATCCCTGTTCCTAGGCTATCCCATCCCCTGCCCAGGCTATCCCACTTCCCCTCGCTGGGCCCAGCCTGGCCCTCTCCTCGCCTTGTTCTGTCCCCGTCAGATGAGCTTCCACGAGGATGACCAGGGCAGCTTCGTGACCAACGAGCGGAGCAGCGCGAGCGAGTGCATCAGCAGCAGCGAGGAGGGCAGCTCCCTGACCTACTCCTCCATCTCTGACCACAT